GGTGAGGGCCGCGCGGGAGGGTTGCCATGGCGACGTGGTAGTAGTTCATCGCCTCAAGTAGGCCGCTCCTGGAAGAGAAGGCAGACCGAGGGAAAGTTCCCCTCGTCCTCTATTTTAGAATGATTTGTCTGTTTGTAGTTTGCCCTTTCAAGTTGTTTCCGATTTATGGCGACCCAAAGGCATGGGGTTTTCTTGGCAAGATTTGTTCAGAGGTGGTTTGCCATGGCCACCCTGAAGCTGAGAGAGTGTCAGTGTCCAAGGTCACCCAGTGGGGTTTCATGGCCGAGCTGGAACTCTAACCCTGGCTTCTAGTGTCACAGTCCAATGCTCAAACCACTATGCCACGCTGCCTTGCGTGACTTCACGTTGTTTCAGATTTATGGTGACTCTATCATGGGGTTTTCTTGGCAAGTTTCTTCAGAGGGCTTTTCCCCATGGCCATTCCCTGAGGCTGAGAGAGTGTGACTGTTGTGTGCTATGCACCTTCAAGTAGCTTCTGACTGATGGCGGCCCTAAAGTGACCCTATCATGGGGTTTTCTTGGCAAGTTTCTTCAGAGGGGTTTTCCCCATGACTATCCCAAGGCTGAGAGAATGTGACTTGTGTGCTGTGTGCCTTCAAGTAGTTTCTGACTGATGGTGGTCCTAAGGCAACCCCCTCATGGGGTTTTCTTGGCATGGTTTCTTCAGAGGAAGTTTGCCATTGCCATCCTCTGAGGCTGAGAGAGTGTGACTTGCCCAAGGTCACCCAGTGGGGTTTCATGGCAGAGCGGGAAGCCGAACCCTGGCCTCTAGAAGTCAAAGATATAGCCGTGTTAGTCTGCAAAATCACCTTTAAGACTAGCTGAAAGAAGTTGGCAGCATCAGTTGTTGTAGACAAAAGTCTACTTCATCAGATGCATTTAGACTTAAGTCTCCAAAATCTCATGCTGCCAGCTTCTTCTTTTCACTTAGTCTCAAAGGTGCTACAAGATCTCTTTACTCCTGGCCTCTAGAGTCACAGTCCAGCGCTCAAACCACTACACCACACCGGCTTGTGTGCCTTCAAGGCATTTCCGATTTATGGCAACCCTAAGGCAAACTTGGGGTTTTCTTGCCAAGGGATTTTCTTGGTAAGATTGGTTCAGAGGTGGTTTGCCTTTTCCTTCCCCTGAGGTTGAGAGAATGTGACTTGCCCTAGGTCACCCAGTGGGTTTCTTGGGTCCACTAGAAATATTATTTCACCTAAGATTCAACTCAGACAATGTCTATCTCAATGTAATTTAAAACTGAATTCCTGACATCAGTGCTACTATAGATTAAGGACAGATTTGTTTGAATTCAAAGAAAGGAAATATATGCTTTCTGGAGTCTGGGAGGAAATATCCAAAGCAAATAGAAAAAAAAATACAAAAATTAAACAAGCTAACTGGTTTATTTTATGTAGAAATATACTTTTGTTTTAAAAGAGATGTTCCAGTTGTGCACACTAGAAGGTTCTTCATCTCCTGTAAGAAATCAAAGATATAGCTGTGTTAGTCTGCAGAATCAGTACATAGAGAGATCCTGTAGCACCTTTGAGACTAACTGCAAGAAGTTGCCAGATCGCAGACCAAATGCATCTGAGGAAGCAGACTTTAGTCTATGGAAGCTCATGCTGCCAACTTTTTTCTTTCAGTTATTCTCAAAGGTGCTACAAGATCTCTCTACACACTGACTCCAGTGATAAAACTACCAGAAACATAGACCATATTTTCCGGCGTATAAGACGACCCGGCATATAAGACGACCCCCCATTTTTCCAGTCAAAATATAGAGTTTTAGCACCTCTATCCTCCTTATCCTTATACCCGGCGTATAAGACGACCCCCCCACTTTAACCACAGATTTTGAAGTTTAAAAAGTAGTCTTATATGCAGGAAAATAAGGTATCTCTGATTACATTTCTATCCTGTCCTCTTCCAAGAAGTTGAAGGCAGCATTCCTCACCTGTACTCCCCAACACAGATTCCTTTCATCAAACAGCCTAGTAGGAGAAAATGGGCCTTTGTCTCTCAAGTGACCTTCATAGGATGTCTAGGAAGGAGTAAAAGTTTAACACACAGTACATTCTACCACACTGGTACTGATTTGTCACTTCTCCACAAACCATCACTCAATCTAGAACCAGCCTTCACGTGAGTAGGGTGTTATGCATTGAACAAAGATACCTAGGTAGAAACTTTTAAAATATTTAAGTTTGTTAAACTTTGTTTGTTAAAGTTTCAGTACTAGAACAAAAAGTCAACAAAATACTTCAGTAGCACTTTATTTGTGATAGCTGAATAACTTACATTGTCACAATCAAACAGACATTTGCTCACAACAAATATGAAATCAAAGAGAACATATGAAGAATCTGAAACATATTTAGATAAACTGGAAGCATCTTCTCTTCACCGGGCATCGAACACAACCACTATAGAAAGGGTTAAAGAAAAAAGATGGAAACACAAGAAAAAAATGGATTGCTATAACAAATTATGCAAACACTTGGACAAAATTTACACAACCAGACATACAGTGAATGTAGTTAGGCATATGGAAATGAATTAAGTGTAGGGTTGGAAACGTATCCTGTTTGTCCTAGCCTTACGCGCACCATACTTCAGTAGTCATTCCCTGCAATATACTAAGTGAACAAAAACTGCATTCTATTTGCAGATTAGAAGGAATGGAGATAATGTCTTGAACTCTATGGGGATATCCTTAGGTAGGGCCCTGTCTGCTGCATTTGGAGAAGGATGGAGCCTGCCAACATACACAGAAAGTAGAATTTAGCCTTAATGTAAAATAAGCTTCAAACATTCCAAATGAGGGTTGAACAGGATGTAGAAGTGGCTCAAGTTTGTTGCGCTTTCTATGATTCTTTCAAATAGTATACAACTTTCTCATCTTTTCCTATAGTAAAGATGTCATTCCTTAGCCAGAATGCTGACCGGGGCTAGTTGTAGGGAGCACAGAACTCACCTTTTTGAAACAGCTTCACTGGCTACCAGTTCATTTCTGGGCAAGAGTCAAAATGCTGATCGTTATTTATAAAGCCCTACAAAGCTTAGGTTCAGACTATCTTAAAGACTCTTATCTCCTCATATGAACTTGCAAGGATGCTAAGATCTTCAGGGAAAGGTTTTCTCCTAGTCGCCACCATCACAGGCTTGCTTTGTGTTGACCCACGAGACAGCCTTCTTGGTAGTTGCTCCCTTCCCTCTGGAACTCTTTTCCACTGGAGACTAGGCTGCTTTCCTTTCAACAGCAGGCAATTCTTATTTCTTATTTAAGCAGGCTTTTAACAGGTAGGGAAGGTTTTTATTTAGATGTGTTTTATGTTTTAAAACCTCTTGGATGACTTTAAAATGATTTTATAATGTTTAATGGGGGTATCTTTAATTGTTTTTAAATGTTTATTGTAAACGTTTTTAACGTTATTTCTGGAAGCCACCTTGGCCTCACTCTGGGAGAAAACTGGCATATAAATAAAGCCAATACATAAATAAAATTAAAGTTACTAAATCTAATAGTACTTAAAAAGGTAAAGGTATTCTCCTCTGACAAGGTTGCCAAGTCGTATCTGACTGTAGGGGGTGGTGCTCATCTCCATTACTAAGCCAAAGAGCCAGCGTTGTCAAAGATATCTTGTGATCGTGGTCAGCCTATTTATCTATTTGCATATCCATGCTTTCAAACTGCTAGGCTGGCAGAAACTGGGGCTAGTGATGGGAGCTCACCCAGTCCCATGGCACTTGGGCCTCGAACTGCCAACCTGCCGATCTTGCAATCAGAGTCAGCAGCTTAAACGATTGAGCAACCGTGTCCCATGTAAATTAATTCACAGTATTTATTTATTCAAGTAAATAAACCAGGCAATCCTGGTTATAGTCAATCCTTATACAGACAATCATATTGTAGTCCAGAATGGGAATTCTGTCCCTGTCGGTCCTCTCCCTTTGTGGTCTTCCAATGCCTCCTGGTTCCCTTCTTCCAATCCCTGGCTCAATTACCCATTGCAATTTGCTGTCTAATTTCAACAGCAAACTGCCTCTCCTCCAAATAACTCCTGTAGGAAGCATAGCTGTTTAAAAGAATTGTCAACCTTACTCAGAGGAGGAGGGAAGCTACAGCTGCTGCACATCCCCTTCTCCTCTGAGCAGCATGGTTGCCATTATTTTTAAAATGCCTTATTTTTGTAGTGGTTCTGGAAGCAAAACCATCATTTTAAAAAAGATGGCAAGTACAGCCTCCTCCTTAGTAGAGTAGGTGCAGCTGTTGCCTTTAAAAAAATATATTTTCTTCCTTCCAGGAGCCATGGAAGCAAAGGCAATTTGCCTGGTCACACTCCCTTTGCTTCCATGACTCCTGGAATAAAAAGAGGCATTTTTATAGGGGCAGCAGCCATATTTTCCTGCTTGAAACCCTGAAAGCACTCAAGGCATTTTATAAGTGGCAGTAACTATGGTTTCTTTGGTGGTGGTGACATTTATTTTGTTCAGTGGTTGGGTGACTGGAAAATGATTTCAGCCTGCCAACATTGGGAGAGGCAAAATTGGCCCTCCAACCATAACCACCTTGCTACAAGTCTCACTGCATTCAAAGAGACTTAGGGCCTTTACAGACTGCCAGAAATAATGCAACTTGAGCCACTTTAACTGTCCTGGTTCAGTGCTAGGGAATCATGGGAAATGTATTTTTTCCTGGGACATTGAGCCTTCTCTGTCAGCTCTGGTGCCACAATAAACTACAATTCCCATGATTCCTTAGCATTGTGCCAGGATAGTTAAAGTGGCCTCAAGCAGCATTATTTCTGGCAGTCTGCGGGCCTTTTTACTTCCAAATTATAATCATCACAGGATTAAGACTTAAAATCAGACTGCAGGTCTCACTGATTTTAATAGGCATTTAGCATTTTTCTAGATGAGAACTAATAAAACTATATAAATTTGGTGTCTAATGCATAAGAACATTAGAATCATAGTTTTAGAACTGGAAGGAGTCTCACGGGCCACGAGTCCAACCCTTGCTCACTGCAGGAGTTCCAGCTAAAACATCCCCAGCAGGTAGCTGTCCAACCTCTTTTTGAAGACATCCAGAAAAGGAGACCTTACCACCTCTCTAGGCAATTGGTTCCATTATCGGACAGCTTTTACTGCCAAGAAGGTCTTTGTAATATTCAACCAAAATGCACTCTCCTGTAACTTCAGACCTGTCTTGGTTCTACCTTCTGGGGCAACAGAGAACAGGCCTGCCCTCTCCTCTCCTGAGTTTTATAAAGTGTGCTATCATATCATACACACACACCGTCTTCTTCACCAAGCCAAACTTGGACTATTACAAAACT